ATGTGCACCCTATAAGTATAAATGTCAATCTCGAAACATATTTGTCCTTTGAATTATTTGAATTTATTTCGTTCTAAACGCATATAATTATGTAGGGGCGGCAGACTGTCTAAACGTGACTCTGCGTTTTCCCAGAAATTTTAGCTTTGACCTTTGACCCAAATTTAAGAAAACCGTGACCACTGTAGACAACGATGACATCGATATTTCGATGAGACTTGTTCTCCTCTTTCAATGATATAAACTACAGCCGTGTGTTATTCCGTTAACCCAAATCGATCAAATTCGTTGACTGGGTGGGCACTGTACTAAATTCGTTCTGTCGCCTCAACGTGCGTACAGGTTTGACTTTAGTTCCTTGGAAGGGTAAGTTTCCAGCTATTACTTGAAAAAGGTATAATAATACGAAATTTTCAAAGTTTCGCAAAATATGTGTTTGTTATCATGAAAAACCAATGACAAAGAATAATTTTATGATTGATTCGTTGCTTAAGAATTTTTGCACTATTTATTTAATCTGCGCATTTCACAATTTAAAAAACTTGAAGACGAAAAATGCCAAAAAAAAAACCCCAATAAACGTATATAATACGTATATAACGAACTAGATTTTAGCCAATACCTTCTCTGAGGAAATTTCGCAAATTGTGTACTATATAAGGTTTCCAAACCCTTTCATATACATATATAATAAATCGTATGCTTACCTCTGAAAGAAGTAGCGTGTTTTGTTTCTTATTATGCGTTGAAAACGATTTTTTTTGTGTTTTTGTTATTGTTTTTGTATTGTGTTGTTTTGCATCTATTTTTTAAGAAAGGGGGGGGGGGGGGGGGGCGTGTAATATGTTTATTTTAATGGTAAACAACAGCTATAAAATGCGATAAAATTTTCATTCTTTTGTAAATAAGTTACAACTTTTTGACACATAAAACATAAATATAAATAAAAGAAGATGCAAGGCATATATACTTCAATAAAACAGCAACCAAATATAACAAAACTGAACGATATAACGTTCGCCGTCTTTACTTTATTAGATTGTCGGTTTAAATATACACCACTTTTCACGTGCAATGGGTAGCGTTTTAATTATGACGTCATTATAGTGAAGTATATTAGCAAACACTTAGAATTTTAGCGCAGGCCACGTAAATTAGGCGAGTTACCAGGGGCGGATTCAGGCGGGGGCGTGGCGGGCGTGCCCCCCCCTTAAATTTGCAAAGCATGGGTTGTCCTCAGCTTAAGAAAGAATATTTCGATAATTTTACCTCAAAAAAAATGTTCGCCTCGCTCCGCTCGTCTAAAATTTAAGTTTGCGCCCCCTAACCTAAAATCCTGGATCCGCCCCTGGTTACAGTGTTTTGTAATCATTCGCCGTCAATCTGAGTATTGCCTGAATATTTGTAAGATTACGTTTGTTGAATTGTGACTAGCCTGAAATTCGACTTCGTGATTTCCTCATTCTACGTTTTCATAAACAAACTAAAAGCCGTGAAACATAATCCATAATCAGGCTTTGTTCCACTTATTCATGGAAACGATGACCGGGGAAAGGCTGACTCTTTCTATAAAAAATAAGAACTGCTAAAGACTAAAGGCCACGAGACAGAAAATCGAATTTTTTTTTTAACATAATAAAGTTCTCATTCGTATTAATTAACAAGAGACATCAACGTTTCCGACTGAACGTAGTCACAAGATGAAAGGATCTATGTGAAGTCTCGAGTCCAAGTCTACTATATGTTAACCTTTATTTGTATTTCTTGCACAATCCAAGTTTAATGTTTAATTGAGAATTGTTTATTGATCATCTCTTAAGAAAGGTTGCTGTCGACTGGGACTATTATACTAATTAATATATTATGTCCCAGCTGTCGTGTATTACCTATTACTTAGAACATGACTTTTAAAAAAAATATTATCTTACATTAAAAATATGCTTGTTGAGAACACAAAAATCAATGATTCTACTATGAATTAGACTATTGGATGGTTGAGTCTTCATTTCTGTATTTCAGCTGGGACAATTATACTAAATAACTAGTATAATAGATCATAATAGACCCAGATTTCAGTATTTTTTTATTTATTTTGCCTATTATTTAACTTGATATTCCCTATTCTTTATTTCCCCCATTTTTTTCTTTATTCCTTATTTTAAGGCTCATTTATCTCTTATCTGTGCCCAATATTCTCTACTCTGTAAAAACTATCAAGACACTCATGAAAATCCTTGTCTCTCAGAATTTGGCAGTAACTGTAATTAATTCATAATTTCGGAAATGAATCAGGATTGCTCCAGTAAAGTTTGTGAATATTACACTTTGTTTACTTCCGGTTTCAAGAAAAATTGTTTTCAGCCTTTTACGAACGGTATAATTTTTTATTAATGACACCCTTAAAATCCTTCAAGATTTATATTTAATATATAATGAACAAAGTTTATCTAACCTCAATTTCTACACCATGATCGGCATAACTGAGGAGTTTGCCTGAGTCAGAGTTCTCGAAATTCTTTTTTTCCCTGGTCGCCTTTGAAGAAAATTTGCCTGTTCTTACGATTATTTCTATTGCAAAATACCAATATTGTGTTGGTCCTTTGCAAAATTTTGGCTGTCAAAACCTTCGGACCACCACTTATCGAGAATTCTGGTGAGTTGAGATTTTTCACATGATACATTGTAGCTTAACCAAACTGCAACTTACATGTATCTTGGATTATTTTAATCTCCCTGTGAACGTATATTTTGTTCCGCCTAACAGAAGTTCCACAGGAAACTTTGTTATAAACAATGCCATAATGTCTGTATCATCCAAGTTTTTTTTTCTATATAGAGATTGCTTTATCTATATATAACATGATACATATTTATTATAAGGTTACATCCTAACTACATTGTATCCTACTGCCTGTCAATACTTTTATTTTGGTATTGCACAAGTCATGTCTTCTTTGACTGTCCATGTCGTTTAAACACTAAATCCCTGGGATGTGTTTTAATTGATTTTAGTCTCTGATGTATGATATTTTATTAGTACTGCAAGTACTCTCAAATAGTACTTTCGTGTTATTTGACCTGTTGACACAATTTGTAATGCTTTTTTGTTATTCAATGTTTACTTATTTGGTGTCATATCTCTTCTCACTATTTTTAATATGTACCACCTTTGATAAGTATTTAGTATGACGATAAATTTTCACTTCTGTACTCGTACTGTGAACAACAAATTTATTTATTTTGAAAAAAATATTTCTGTACTAACAACAAAATTATTATGTTTAAATTTACTTGTGTACATTATTTTATTTAACGCCGTTTTGTCCCAGGTTAGAGTTGTTTTTTTGACATTGTTCTACAGCTTTTTTATTGATGTTGTATTTATATTGTGTCATAGATCAAACTGATTCGTTCAGTGTATGCTTACCTGTTTTTGTTTATATGTATTTTTGATCAAGTTAAGCCATTTCAATCGACATTTTATAGTGAGTCTTTTTATGTTGTAATTTTACACTACTGTTTCAGGTTAGGGTGAAGGTTGGCGCCTGTTAAAACATTTAAGCCCGCTGCATTTGTATGCACCTGTCCTTAGTCAGGAGCCTGTTGTTCAGTAGTTGTCGTTTGTTGATGTGGTTCATAAGCATTTCTCGTTTTTTATATAAATTAGACTGTTGGTTTTCCAGTTTGAATTGTTTGACACTAGTCATTTTGGGGCCCTTTATAGCTTGCTGTTCGGTGTGAGCCAAGGCTCCGTGTTGAAGGCCAGACTTTGACCTATAATTGTTTACTTTTTACACATTATGACTTGGGTGGAGAGTTGTCTCATTGGCACTCATACCACATATTCTGATTTATAAGCACATAAATATACTAATCAATCAATTACAATCTGTAATTTAAATACTCATACCTTATATTTATCAATATAAGTCATATAATATACAAAATACAATTACTGTAAAACATATAAAATGCAGTCTACCACATTAATGTCCATGCATACCGTATATTTTAAATTTATTTCCCAAAATATATGTCATATATCTCTTTGTAGGTCTGCACTGAGATTGAATAATGAGAAGATCAAGAAATGGATCAGGTGAAGAAGTAAAATACCACAAATTAAGAAGAAATGTTGATGATGGCTTTATAGATTTACAGGTTGGTACATGTACATTTGTCTTTAAATTAATAAGGATACATGTACATTTGTCTTTAAGTTAGTAAGGATACATGTACATTTGTCTTTAAGTTAGTAAGGATACATGTACATTTGTCTTTAAGTTAGTATGGATACATGTACATTTGTTTTTAAGTTAGTAAGGATGCATGTACATTTGTCTTTAAGTTAGTAAGGATACATGTACATTTGTCTAAGTTAGTAAGGAGACATGTAAATTGTTACTATTGTTCAATTTGGCAGATCAATCAGAAGTTTGAACTGAATGATCTAGAGTGTGAGAAACTAGTATTCTGTATTCTGTAGGAGACAGGCAATCTGAAAGGTTTTGAATTAGAATGAAATCATGTATCAAAAGGCAAGATGGCTAATTTGTATACATGTATTATAGGAAAATGTACATTGTACATTGAGCAAATTAAAATTTTATATACATGTACATGTACTCAGAGCAATTACAATATCATTATTGTATATTTGTATTTATCTTTTGAAGCCAGGCTCTGTTATGTTTTGTTCTTTTTTTTTTAAATAGGAAGTGTTTTAAGTAAAAACAGGATTTAGTTGCTTTGAATAACTATATCTAAATGCATTTAATAGAAAATTAAATATACTTAATTGACTAATTGTTACTTAGCCTTACAGCTTTTGAGGAGCTAAAGATAATCTTTATCAAGTTTATGAGATGGTTTCAAATCTGTCATAGGCCCAATATTTTTCTAGTGGTTTACAAACATGAGACATGTGTTTGTTTCCCAAGTAAGATACACTTTAATTTGAATATGTTAGGTATCATTTAGTCAAAACATATTGACAATTTTTTATACGACTGCAAAAAATTTTTGCGTTCGTATATTGGTATGAAGTTGGCGTCGTAGTCCGTCGTCGTTCGAAGACACATTGGTTTTCGCACAATAACTTTAGTTTAAGTGAATGGATCTCTATGAAATTTTACCATAAGGTTCAATATCACAAAAGGAAGGTTGGGATTGATTTTGGGGGTTATGGTACCAACAGTTAAGGAATAAGGGGCCAAAAATAAGCATTTTTGTAACTTCCAGACAATAACTTGTGTGTTAGTGTATGGATCTCTCTGACATTGTACCACAAGGTTTCATATCACAAAGGGAATGCTGGGATTGATTTTGGGGGTAATTGTCTCAAAATTTTAGGAATTAGGGGCAGAAAAAGGGGCAAAAAACAAGCATTTTTCATGACAATAACTTGTGTGTAAGTGTATGGATCTTTCTGAAATTGTACTACAAGGTTCCATCTCACAAAGGAAAAGCTGGAAATGAGTTTGGGGGTAGTTGCCCAAAACGTTTAGAAATAAGGGGCTAAAAATAAGCATTTTTCTAGTTTCCAGACAATAATATAACTTGTTCAAGTGTATGGATCTCTATGAAATTGTACTGCAAGGTACCATACCACAAAGGGAAGGCTGGGATTGATTTTGGGGGTAATTGCCTCAGAATATTAGGAATTAGGGGCAAAAAAGGGGCAAAAAACAAGCCTTTTTCTAGTTTCAGGACAATAACTTGTGTGTAAATGTAGGGATCTTTATGAAATTGTACTACAAGGTTCCATATCACAAAGGGAAAGCTGGGTTTGAGTTTGGGGGTAATTGCCCTAAAATTTAGGAATTTGAGGCCAAAAAGGGGCCAAAAAACAAGCATTTTTACAGTTTCCAGACAATAACTTGAGTTCAAGTGTATGGATCTCTCTGAAATTGTACTGCAAGGTACCATACCACAAAGGGAAGGCTGGGATTGAGTTTAGGGGTGATGAATCATAAGGGGGTTGAAAAAATTGGGGGTGGGATTTTTTTTCCTTTTTTTTTTCTTTAAAATTTTCCATTTTAAGTTGGTTATTTTTCATTTATATATAAAAGCAAATAATAATGATATGGTTTGATTTCATCAAAAATTGAAATATTGGGGTTCTTTATGCTGAATTTAACCATGTATTTAAATTCTTAATTTTTGGTCCTGTTTTCAAATTGGTCTACATTAAGGTCCAAAGGGTCCAAAATTAAACTTAGTTTGATTTTAACAAAAATTGAATTCTTGGGGTTCTTTGATGTGCTGAATCTAACCGTGTATGTATTTAGATTTTGGATATGCGACCATAATAGGTAAATTTCAAATTTTTTAAGTTCTTAGACCCCATTCATTCTGTGTCAGAAACCTATGCTGTGTCAAATATTTAATCACAATCCAAATTCAGAGCTGTATCAAGCTTGAATGTTGTGTCCATACTTGCCCCAACTGTTCAGGGTTCGACCTCTGCAGTCATATCAAGCTGCGCCCAGCGGAGCATTTAATTACTAGCTAGTTTAATATAAACTTAGACATCAAACATTGAAACAGGAGAAATCTTTTCAGCCAAGTAAAACCATTCTTGTCAATTCTTTATCAAAATGTTCAAAATGATATGAAAAGTGTTAAGTGGCTTGCAAAGAAAATATGTATCTTATGAAGCTAAATTAACTTTGGAGTTTTGACTTCTTGCCAAGAAAATAATATCTTTTAGTAATTGAACTTTATTCATTAGTTTCAGAGACCACCACCAAAGATACCATACAAAGCTATAACACTTGCTACAGTGCTGTTTGTTATAGGGACTGTTCTGCTTATAATTGGATCCATGTTGTTGACAGGTTACATTGATGCTAAGGTACATTTAACAATCCGTAAAAGGGATGTGAAAGATACCAGAGTGATATTCAAACTCATAAGTTGAAAACAAACTGACAATGCCATTGCAAAAAACATAAAACCATCAAAAACAGTATACAAAAAACAACATAGAAAACTAGAGACTGTGCAACAATCTCCACAAAAAACCAGGGGTGATCTCAGGCGCTCTAAACGATAAAAAGATCCTGCTCCACATGTGGCACCAGTCGTGTTGATCATGATAAGTCTAATTCCAGTGACATAAAAAAACACACATAAAAATGGTTAATATCTGTAAAGTCACAAGTTATGTCATCATTCAGTCAATATTTGTCATCTTGATATCTATGTCATCATTCAGTCAATATTTGTCATCTTGATATCTATGTCATCATTCAGTCAATATTTGTCATCTTGATATCTATGTCATCATTCAGTCAATATTTATCATCTTGATATCTATGTCAACATTCAGTCAATATTTGTCATCTTGATATCTATGTCATCATTCAGTCAATATTTATCATCTTGATATCTATGTCATCATTCAGTCAATATTTGTCATCTTGATATCTATGTCATCATTCAGTCAATATTTGTCATCTTGATATCTATGTCATCATTCAGTCAATATTTGCCATCTTGATATATTTGTCAAGTTGTCAACATTCAGTCAATATTTGTCATCTTGATATCTATGTCAAGTTGTCAACATTCAGTCAATATTTGTCATCTTGATATCTATGTCATCATTCAGTCAATATTTGTCATCTAGATATCTATGTCATCATTCAGTCAATATTTATCATCTTGATATCTATGTCATCATTCAGTCAATATTTGTCATCTTGATATCTATGTCATCATTCAGTCAATATTTATCATCTTGATATCTATGTCATCATTCAATCAATATTTGTCATCTTGATATCTATGTCATCATTCAGTCAATATTTGTCATCTTGATATCTATGTCATCATTCAGTCAATATTTATCATCTTGATATCTATGTCATCATTCAGTCAATATTTGTCATCTTGATATCTATGTCAAGTTGTCAACATTCAGTCAATATTTGTCATCTTGATATCTATGTCAAGTTGTCAACATTCAGTCAATATTTGTCATCTTGATATCTATGTCATTTGGGAAATTTGGTGTTGACAGATCATTGATAGGTTCTGTTAAATTTATTTACAACTTTTCCAGACTCAGGGCAAATTATTTTTCTTGTTTTATCGTTTAGACAATAGTCTATTCTTTTAAAAATCTTGTTAACGACTAGATGTCTTTTATATTTTGTTGGTATATTTCATTGACTATTATTTGTCTGTTTGTCTTTTTATTTTTGGCCATGGCGTTGTCAGTTTGTTTTCGATCTATGAGTTTGACTGTCGCTCTGGTATCTTTCGTCCCTCTTTCATTGACTTATAACAAATACATTTATCTCATTTTATTCTTACTTACAATTATCGTTGGAAGTAAATTAAAAGAGCAAGATATACATGGGGAAGAACTGACAGTGTTCTCCCCAGGGCCTTGTACCATGGCGTCATATTTTTTATACGACTGCAAAAAAATTTTGGGGTCGTATAAAGCTATCATGTCGTCGTCTGTGTCGTCGTCCAAAGACATTGGGTTTCTGGACAATAACTTTAGTTTAAGTGTATGGATCTCTATGAAATTAAACCAAAAGGTTCAATACCACAAAAGGAAGGTTGGGATTGTTTTTGGGGGTGATGATCCCAACCGTTTAGGGGCCCAAACAGGGCCGTAACTAGCCTCTTAAAAATGAGGCAAAATATATTCACGGTGCGAAAACAGTTTCGGCGAGGGGTCTGGGGCCGCTCAAGGCCCCCAGAAGCTCTGGAAAAAATGACGCAAAATTGTGCATTCTGAGCGTTTCTCGGACCCGTTCTTAATCAGAAACGTAAGTTTTGTTTTAAATATGTTTTCGACAATATTCTGGTCTCAAAGCAAAATATATAGATTCATTGTAAGACTCTTAGTTTTTAGGGACAACATCAAAAGACCGATTAGTAGGATAAAGCAAAAATCGTATGTCACATAATTAAGTGTGTGGCTGCTGTTTTTTTTTTTTTTTAATTGAGTTTCAGCTTGCAGAAAACGTATTATACCTGTCAATTATTTTTTTTCTCAAATCAAGTTAAGAGGGGGCTGATTATCATTTATTTAACTATGTGAATTAAGATTTTATAACGCATTTCAATTCCAACTTGATGTAGTTCCTAACTGGGATAAGAGGGTACACTCAGGGTAGAATCAGGAAAACTGTTCTTAGACCTCATTGCTACATTTTATACCGGCTGATTAATGTCTGATCTGTCTGTTCTGGTCTTGTATTGTGTTTAGACTTTGGTGTATTTTTGTGTGACTTTCAAATTTATTCACAGTACAAATACTTTAAGTACCGCTTAAGTCGACGCTAGGGGCCGTCTTGACCTTGTTGTAGGGTATGAATGATTCTTTCATTGTTGAAGACCCTCAAGCGACTGTCAAGATGAAGAACAGGAATAAAAACCCTGTTCATTGATAATTTGTACTTTTTTCTATGTAGTGTGTGCGATTTTGTCCATTGCACATTTACTCCATATCCCTTTATATTCTATTTAAGGGCCTGAACACGGCTTAATGCGAGTTTAGCCCTTCAATGTAAAAGGTCGTATGGCAATACGTGATTTTTCTTTTCAAGTGATTTGATTCCGGGAGATTGTCTCACTTTAATTTAACCCATGTCAGCTTTTTAGTTTTATTTACAGAAAAGAGAGCCAGTCTTGTATTTTTTAATATAAAGTTTAATTTTCCATGAAAAAAACGACCAATTTTTCTATGTCCGGCAGCATCGAATCTTCTCACACCATTTTTTCGACATCGGTGGACATGCAACATTGCCAAACCACACAACCTTTCACCCGTCATCGTTGATCTTTCCCAAGTCTTAAGTCTACTCAAAGCAGAGAATGAACGTTTACAACATACAGATGTTACGAGAAGAATCAAAAACAGCTTAATATTGGACAACTGAAGCGTTAGTCATAAAGATTGATTGATTGATTGATTGGTGTTCGCCTATCGCCGCCTCAGAACAAAAAAAGCTAGAGCTAATTTCAAATATTTTTACAAGTTAAAGTAGGCTTTAAAATTAGACAAAAGGTCCTTAAATATAACAAAACTCAAGTTTAAAACAAAATTACTAAATTAAATTGACAAATGAAATTCAACACTAAGACAATAGTTATAAAGAGGGGCAATAAACGAACAAAAGACAAACCCGGTAACAGATAAGACACATAACGACGAACAATAGACCATCAACACTGAAAACTAAAAATAAATGAGTAACATGGATCCCGAAAAACATGGGATGACGTCAGAAGGTGAACAGAACTTGCTTCTTGCAAGACACTCGCCGTGAAAACAATTTGATATGAAGACAAGCTTTTGTTTCAACTTATACTTTTTTTTTTCGAAATTTTCAACATGAGGCATTTGTCTCATTTGCCTCAATGTAGTTACGGCCCAAACAAGCATTTTTCTAGTTTCAGGACAATAACTTGTGTATAAGTATCAATTTTTCTTAAATTGTACCACATTTTACAAATAGAAAATTTCTTCAAATTTTATTTTTTTTTTTTAAAAGGGGGTGGGGGAGGGTGTAAATTTTTTCCTCAAGATTTAAGAAATTGTCAATTTTCCAAAGAAAAATTGGGGGTCATATTTCATTTTGCTAATTCTTTGTATATAGTCTGAAAACAGATTTACTAAGTATTGCACATCACAGTGTTCCAGCTAGGTCGTTTTCACAGGGCGGTCCGATGATCAGCACAGTGTATTGCACAAAAGCAAGAAATCTTCAATTGAATATATAAATTCAAATCATATAACCAATTTCAAGTTCTTTGACTTCATTTATTCTGTGTCAGAAACCTATAATGTGTCAAATATTTAATTACAATCCAAATTCAGACCTGTATCAAGCTTGAATATTGTGTCCATTTTTGCCCTTACTGTTCAGGGTTGGACCTCTGCGGTTGTATCCAGCTGCGCTAGGCGAAGCAGTATATTTTACCATAAAATCAGTATGCTAGATGAATAGAATATTTAGCAGACTGTATCACAAATATGTTGCTGTAATTTAAAGGAAACCGTGCTATTTCAAATTCAAATCCCACTTTGCTATGTTAAAATGAAGGGGAAAACTGTATAAAATGTTAAATTTACAGAAAAACTATGAATAAATAAGCAATACATGTATATATACATTTTTATTTCAGTATGGTGACAGAACTTGGCCTGTGATAATTTTAGGAGCTATCATGTTTATTCCTGGTGCCTATCATGTTAGACTAGCTTGTTATGCTTATAAAGGATATGATGGATATTCTTATGATGACATTCCAGAATTCGATGAATGATGCAGTAACATATCATGTATACATACAAGGAAACATTTTAGTAGCCTGAAGTGACCTTTATTTCAGGCAATCGCACATTTTAATAAGAAAAACTTGCAGTTTAAAGTGCTAGTCTGTCTTAAAACAAAAGAATTCTTGTCATATAAGGTAGAGCAAAAAAAACCAACTTTTAGGTGTTGAACCATCCTTAAATTTCATGTAAATTTTAGAAATGCATACCATTTTAATCTTTTAAATTAATATTTTACGTATCAGTTACTGGTATTGAGATCACTAACATTTTTTTTTATAGCATTATAAAGTATCTCCCAAATGTAATTGTAAATTTTTTTCTCTTTAATACTATGCAAATTCTTGTATGCATTTATTAATTTTAAAACCATGACTACAACAGCAAAACTAACTAGCATGGTTTTATCATATGTTTATTGTATGTTCATTGGTAAAAAATTACTCTTTAATTGAAAAAAGGCAATAACATTTAAATGTTCTTTGTAATTTTCAATTTCATTTCTTATTATTGTGAACAAAATGAAACTCTTCCACAGAGTTATCTCCTCTTGGTAGTTCAATTGTCCCATTAGATAAATACAATAGCTATTGTCCACTGTTTGGTTTATTCAGTGGGTCCTGTAAAATTCTTTTAAGAGAAATCCATCACTCATTGATTAATTTGTATACCTGATGCAAAAATTTATCTTCTTAGTAGATGAAAAAAACATGTAATCAACTCACAAAACTACATGTGATGTATTTATTCAATACCAATGATATATTTTCAATCTTTTCAATATACACACTGGTTAAATCATTAAAAGTTTATTTCTTACACATTTTTTAGCTTTTGTTCCTATCGAAATTTGCATTTTTTTTTTCAGTTGTTTAGTTATAGAATACATTTAAGAAGGACTTAGTTTAAACATCGTCATTTTCAGTTTTTATTTGTCAAACACACAAAAAACAAATTTCAATAGGAACAATGTTGAAAATTTTGTCAGAAATCAACTTCTAATGTTTGAATAAGTGTTTACATTGAACAGATTGAAAATGTTTTATTGATATTGAATAAATACAACATCACATGCAGTTTTGTGAGTTGACTCCATGTATTTTCATCTATATAGAAGATAATTTTTGCTTCAGGTAAATTAATCAATGAGTGATTGGTTTCTCTTAGAAGAAATTTTACAAAGTTTGATTTAATTTGATTTGATTTTTGGTGTTTTAACGCCACTTTTAAGCACCGCTTTTGGGCTATTTCGTGGCGGCCAGTTTTTATTGGTGGAGGAAGCCGGAATGCCCGGAGAAAACCACCGACCTTCGATATGAAAACTGACAATCCTAGCCAATTAAGATTGGAGTCGAGTGCACCCGCATGAGCGGGGTTTGAATACAAAATTTGAATACCTTGACCAAGAGAAGATGACTCTGTGGAAGAGTTTCATTTGGTTCACAATAAAGAGTTATTGAAGAGAGTTATTAAAAAAATACCATGTTTTTAAATTATTTATTTATAGGGCTAAAGTTTGATGGATGGTGGTTGTTTTTATTATTGACTCTCAGAAATAAAGGAAATAATCAAATTTTATGCATTGTGAGATAAAAAAAAAGATCCTTCCCATTGTTATCTCCCATTGATAAATTATGGAATAGCCTTCACTTGAAATATGGGTATGAGTCATATTTCCATTAACTTTTTTGTTTGCAAATGGGATTTCTGAAGTTTGAAATCCAGTTTTTATTGTACATATACATTTTCATGCAAAAAATATGTCAGAGTTCTGACTTTATTTTATTTACTGGAAACAGAAGGTTTTTGAATTTTTTACATTTTGAAGGTACAGTTCTTTATTTTTCCATTTGGATGTTAGTATACCTGATGGATTTCAATCCAGACAATTTTCTTTGAGTTCACTAAACTTAGAACCGTTTTGTTGATTTTGTAAACCAACTAATATTCATGAGTGATTTATTTTTGCAAGTAGAAAAATAACAAGAATTTAAGTCATGCTGAATTATTATATATGAGATCTTCTCTTATGTAAACATATATCAAAAAATTGTGAAGAATGCAAAGTTGGCTAGAAAGAATTTAAACGAAATAAAGTATGAACGAAAATAAGTTGGTTGACAGTATATTATATGGTCTTTTTTATTAATAAAAATGTAAAGAGTACACTGATTATTTCATGGATCTGTGCAATATGTTAGTTTGTTATGAAGCTGTGTAGATGTATTAACATGTACATGTATTAACATGTACATGTATTAACATATTATAAATGTCTTTACAGTTCTTACATGTACTGAGTTGAATATTTATGATTTTTTGTATATTTTTAAATCATATGAAGTAATTTATCAGGATCCTTTGCACTCTTGAAAAAAGTATTGCACTTCATTGATTAAACTTTCACTGATTCCCAAAATCAGTGGCAACTGGGATTATGATTTCTAGACAAAAATGGGTTTCGTTCAGCTGTGAATCCATTGAAGAACTGTCATGAAAAAGTTTAATTTACAAATTGGAATATATGGATTACATTAAAAAACAAGTGCAAATTGCTCTATCTCACTTTTGAATTTGCAGCCAAATATTTGGATCGACAATCACAGAATGAAATATTTTTTGTCAATTATACGTTATGGATTGGTAACAAATGTAAAAACATGCACAGAGGACTTAATTTAATATATATGCAACTTGCATTGGTTCAATAATTTCCTTAACTTTATAATTACCATATACTTGACTTTCAGTCTTCTAAAATGTTGATTTTGATTACTTGAATTAAAAACCAGGTTTCTGTTTAGTGACAAAAGGAACATAATGTGATAAAAAAAATTGAAAGTATTTCATTTGTCTTTTATTAGTTTTGATTTTTTTATAAAACAAAACTGATTCTTTAGAATCATGATACAAATTGACCTACACAAATGTTTTGTGCATGTATTTCTGAATCTTTTATCTTTTTCACAAAATCCATGGTAACTGTTATTGTTATATAAAGTTGTAATTATGTTTTTTTTTTGGATGTAGATATTACTTTCATTGAATGATATTAATATTGCATAGGTTTTGAAATAATGCCACAAAAAATCAATACTGTTCAGTAGTTTTACATTGTTTCCTTGTTTGTAGTGTCCATCATATTCACAGTATGTAAAATGGTGCAACCTCTATCCTATAAGAGGTAGTCCTTTTTTTTACACGACCGCAAAAAAAATTTGTGGTCGTATATTGGTATGACGTTGGTGTCGTCGTCGTTTGAAGACACATTGGTTTTCGCACTCTAACTTTAGTTTAAGTGAATGGATCTCTATGAAATTTTACCATAACGTTCAATATCACAAAAGGAAGGTTGGGATTGATTTTGGGGGTTATGGTATCAACAGTTAAGGAATTAAGGGCCAAAAAGGGGCCAAAAATAAGCATTTTTGTAACTTCCAGACATAACTTGTGTGTTAGTGTATGGATCTCTCTGACATTGTACCACACGGTTCCATATCACAAAGGGAATGCTGGGATTGATTTTGGGGGTAAATGCCTTAAAATTTTAGGAATTAGGGGCCAAAAAAGGGGCAAAAAACAAGCATTTTTCTAGTTTTATGACAATAACTTGTGTGTTAGTGTATGGATCGTTCTGAAATTGTACTACAAGGTTCCATATCACAAAGGAAAAGCTCGAATTGAGTTTGGGGGTAGTTGCCCAAAACGTTTAGGAATAAGGGCCAAAAATAAGCATTTTTCTAGTTTCCAGAGAATAAATTGTGTTCAAGTGTATGGATCTCTCTGAAATTGTACTGCAAGGTACCATATCACAAAGGAAAGGCTTGGATTGATTTTGGGGGTAATTGCCTCAAAATTTTAGGAATTAGGGGCCAAATAGGGGCAAAAAACAAGCATTTTTCTAGTTTCCGGACAATAACTTGTGTGTAAGTGTATGGATCTTTATGAAATTGTACTACAAGGTTCCATATCACAAAGGGAAAGCTGGAATTGAGTTTGGGGGTAATTGCCCAAAATGTTTAGGAATAAGGGGCCAAAAATAACCATTTTTCTAGTTTCCAGAGAATAACTTGTGTTCAAGTGTATGGATCTCTCTGAAAAAGTACAATTTCATAAAGATCCATACACTTACACACAAGTACCATACCACAAAGGGAAGGCTGGGATTGAGTTTGGGGGGTGATGAATCATAAGGGGGTTCAAAAAATTTGGGGGGGGATTTTTTTCCCCTTTTTTTTCTTTAAAATTTTCCATTTTAAATTGGTTATTTCTGATTTATATATAAAAGCAAATAATGATATGGTTTGAATAGGTAAATTAAAAAATTATAAGTTCTTAGACCACATTCATTCTGTGTCAAATATTTAATCACAATCCAAATTCAGTGCTGTATCAAGCTTGAATGTTGTGTCCATACTTGCCCCAACTGATCAGGGTTCGACCTCTGCGGTCGTATCAAGCTGCGCCCAGCGGAGCATTTTATTATCACTTGCAACACACATATTGAAACCCAATAATTGGATTGGGACTTTATGAAAGTATGTTTTCTACAGAAATCTGACTGTTGGGTTCGTTGTTCAAATTGTTGTACATTTTTTCATGTCAAGGCTTTTAAGGATGTTCGCTTGTCATGTTTTGAATTTTTGTTAGATTTTCAGAATCCTCTGGTTTTATCCATTTGAAAGCCTTAACAAATTTTGCCCACTAACCCCCATTTTTCTTTTATAAATCTTTTACATGTATAATTATAAGCCATCTGTAAAAGTCTTATAAAATCTTCGTTATTTTTTAATAGTTTTTGAGAACTTAAACTTGTCAATGATAAAGCTATGAATGATCAAGAGAGAACATTTTCCCGTCAAAATTTCAATGGCTAATATCTCGAAAACAATCACACACGGACCAATATTTTTTTTTTGCTCTTTTGGTTCCTTTATTAATCCCCTATCAATATATACTTGTGTTATGAAAAGCTTGTTATTTTGAAACTGAGTAGCGATCTTCCTTAATATATGAAATAAACTGAATAAAATTTGATACAGACAAAGTGCTTTTCTGGATTTGCATTCATCTGGAACTTTTTGAAGCCTAAAGATTTGGTATGGGTTTTGCTCATTATTGAAGGCAGACATGCCATGGTGACCTATATATGCTTACATCTACGTCATTAAATGATTTTAGATCTGGCATATAGTTGTCACATCCCATACCACATAACATCATCATATTTTTCTATATACATGTATACAGGTTTGGAATAGGTGATGTCACTTCATCACAGTTGACCCCTATTACAAAGTTATTTTAAAGCACTTGATACATTTTGAAATTAATTTTCTCAAATATTTTTTTAGTAAAAAGTCTTAACATTTAGGGATAATATAACAGTAATGACTTTTCTACAGGTCAAATATATAACTTTTATCCATTACTTTTAAATACATTTCTTAAAATTTAACCAAAGTTCAGTACATGGTCTTTTAAAAACAAAAATAAGACAGCCACTGAACATCTGATTATTAATGTCTTGTTTTAAAAGTTATAGCTATCGTTGCTGTCTTCATCTAGAGCACATAATTTCTCATTACTGGTACTAAGATTGAGTCAGTATTATGTTTATAGATATGAGATTAGTGATACAAAATTACAGCATCTCTATGCTAGTATTATCATAGTGGAAACAAACAGTTTTCTCATGGAAATAAAGTGTTGATGGAACAAGGCTTTGACAGATATTGCTGTTGTAGGGTCACTGATAAATCTTATTAAAATACAATTTTAGTGTGCCTTTCACTATGCTTCAAGCTGGTAACAGTTTCTGTGCAATAACTTATGAATTGTTCAACCAATGCTTTCCAAATTTTAATATGTTGATACTAGTGACAAAATGGAGGTCAAGTTCGATGTAGACGATTTAATGTTGGGAAATGACACTTTATGTTGTTTCCATTCAATAACTTATGAACCCTTCTTCCAATGGTTTTTAAATTGTAATATGTTGTTACTAATGACAAAATGGAGGTCAAGTTCAATATTGACCATTTTCACTTTTACTGTTAAGGAGTTATGGTTCTATGTTTATTGGAAAATGTCACTTTATGTATGTAGTTTCTGTGCAACTTCTTATGAACCACTAGACCAATACTTTTTAAATTTTGATATGTTGCTATTGATGAAAAAATGGAGGTCAAGTTCAATATTGATGATTTTCACTTTTGCAGTAATGGTTCTTAATAGATTAAAAAATGGCACTTTATGTTCTTAAATTTTTAATATGCTGTTACTGATGACAAAATGGTGATCAATTTTGATATTGAGGATTTTCATTTTTGATGTTCAGGAGTTATAGTCCTTGCTGGATTGGAAATTTGCACTCTAAGTAGTTTCTGTGCAATTACATATGAACCGTACAACCAATGCTCTCAAAATGTTAGTATGCTGTTACAGATGACAAAATGGTGGTCAATTTTGATATTGAGAATTTTCATTTTTGTCGTTCAGGAGTTAAGGTGCTTGATAGTTTGTAAGAGACATAGAATTGGCAGGTAAATAAAGCCTGAAAGTGCCTTTCAAAATACAGACAACCCAGTTTGCTGTCAATTTGAAAGCTCATTCCTTGTCTATGATTTATAATGAGGTAATTGGTTGCAATATAGTCATCATTTTAAAGATGACCTTTCAAATTTTCATGAAAGACTGCAAAATGGGGCTACATTTACTCTCTATTGTCATATACAAACAGATAAACAGTTCATGGCATATTAATACTTATAGACTTATTTAAGTTATAAGATATCTTACTGACTTAAAGAGATATCTTATAAACAATATAAGATATTTAATAGATTTTCATGCTCTGCCTTTTGGCAAAGGGATACAATATCTTGTATTAGTTTATTAAATATCTGATAAATCAATTATATTCAATATCTTGTATAGCTTGTAAGATATCTTATAAAGTTAATAAGATATTTTATATCATTAAATACGATATATAATGAAGTAAATAAGATATCTTACCCACTTTTACAGATATCTTATAAATTAAACCAATCGGGGAATGTTTATTTGGGGCATACATCTATTTTTACTGCAGGTTTTGGCATATTTTAATCGAAATTAGAGAAAAATGGAATGATGTTAGAAGATATAAAACAGAAAATGATAAATAGTTTTAGCAAAAGATGAATTGGATCGGGGTTCTGTGTATTCACATTATTTGTACAACTCTCCTTACTGATGGCAAAAAATGGAATTTCCGTGACCTAAATGGTTCACGAAAATTAATATTTTTATATATATATAGTAATAAGAAATCTTGTGAGATTTTTGCTTCATGATATCTTTAAAAATATATATTATAATCTATATAAAATATCTTATATATTAAATAAAATATCTGAGGGTGAGGATAGGAAAGGGGGGGGGGATTTTCATTTCTGTCTGATCTATTTTTCTCTAATCTTTTCATTTTGCCTGTTATTCTCTATTCTTTAATTTTTTGGCCCCTTTTTCACTATTCTTTATATGTTTGCCCTTTTTTCTGGAAATATTCTGTAAACTCCATCCAGACCCTCATATCTTATAAAACTAAATGAGATATCTTATAAAACTAAATGAGATATCTTATAAAGCTAAATGATATATTTTATAAACTAATAGAGATATCTTATAAAGCTAAATGATATATTTTATAAACTAATAGAGATATCTTAATTATATATTTCATACACTAAATGAGATATCTCAAACTTATTTGGTCTGTGGTGGAGAGTTGTCTCATTGGCAATCATACCACATCTTAATTTTATAAATAAGATGTTTATATATAAACTAAATAATATATCTGATTTATTAATCATAAAATATATATGGTATAGCTTATAAGATATCTTATAAAATTAATAAGATATTTTATAAACCAATTGAGATATCTTATTAAAAAAATGAGATATCTTATAATATATATGAGATATTTAATAAACTAATTGAGATATCTTATAAACTAATTAAGATATCACATAAACTAAATAAGATATTAGATAAATCAATCATATAAGATATCCCGAATGGCTTATAAACAGGGGCGGATCCAGGATTTTTGAAAAGGGGGGGGGGGGGGGGGGGGGGGAGTAGATTAAAACTTTTGCAGGGCGGAGCAAGGCGAACATTTTTTTTGACCTTTTTTTGGCTAAAAAAACATAAAACAAGTGTAAATTGTACTAATTTAACGGTTTCTGAAGTGGGGCATGTACATTTTATAGTTAATGTTAAAGGGTTGGACATTTTTGATGCCGTATTCTCCCCATTGATTGTCTATTGTAAAATGACTGGATGGATCCAAAGCTATATGTACATAAAATTTGATGTGGAATTGATCGTTAAAAAGTGGACATGGAAAAAATCTCCCTAGCCAAGTCAGTCAATGAAATAGATGTCACAACTAGCATCTGAAGAATGCATTGCGAATTTGTGATTCGCACCCCAGGTGCATCTGATCATACATACTTATATAATTGATATTTTACTTTATTCATGCACTTATCAATAAAAAATAGATCCACACAAAACATTTTTTTATTAAGTTTCTAGTGATGACGTCTAAGCCATAGGATTAACCAAAAGCATGTTCTTCGGATTTCGACGAGAAAAATCGTCAATGATCTTTTCGTAGTCAAGTTTAATGTTTTTATGAACATACAAAAGCAACAGGGCATTTAAACGTTTTCCTCCAATTGTATTACGCGAGAAGGTTTTAATATATTTTAATGACGCTGCCCTTTCTGTGGAACTTGATGTTACGCTGGTCAAAAATGCAATGAAAGTAGGCTCAGAAGTTTTACGATGTTTGGAATGATCGTACGACACAGTCTTATGTCTGTTACGGTAGACGTTAATGTAGACGGTTTGTCGGTCTGGTCACGTCATAACTCGTTCCAGAGTCGAAACTCCCGTCTACAAGAGTCAGGATATGGCATGTCAACTTCATAATAACCAACAATGTCGTCGATAGCGTCATCTGATGTTTGGTGAATGTTGCTTGGAATCAAAGCCAATGCCCTTACAACGGAAACAGCATGTTAATCAAACCGAATATTGAACTGCTGAACCATGGAGACAAAGAGTGGTAGAAAAACTGCACGTCAAAAATACACTTGATCATTGTCGGCAGGGACATTACTTCGCTGGGTTTGGCGCCCACACCGTCTTAGAGTCTTGATACCACCAATGTCGGCAACTTCAGCCATTATATCGTAGATTTTTCAAACACGGTGTCAAATTCCTTTTCGTCGTCTCGTGTTGATTTGACCAAAGATTTGACGGTATCAATCATTTTATACCCTTCTACAATATCGAGTGTAGACCCTTGGAGTTTTCTACTCAATCCACTTACATATCCAAAAAAGTTGTGGACGGCTTTAAAACTAACTATAAAAGTAGAATCAAGTATTTTTGTGAGTAGCCCTTTAGGGTCAATAACAGCTTTCTTTTCCCAGGTGCGTCCAACGTTAGAGCTGATTTCCTCCAAACAAGATATGATTGGCTCGTACATGGTAGAAAAACTGCCGAGGGTCGTAATTTTTTCACTCCGTCTTGTTTCACAGAAGACCTTAAATTTCTGTTTTGTTATTTTGTTTTGCGCATCCCTGTTCGAATTTATCTCATCTACGGCTTTTCGAGACATCAACTCCGTTTTGGAGAATACTTGAAAAATATCCCGAGCTGTTTTAAGCTATCTAACATCAATTGTATTTCTGGAACATTGCAACATTTGCATAGTACTAGATTCAGGTTATGGCTAGCGCAGTAATGATAAACTGTCCTTGGTGACAGTCTGGTAAACTGCGCCGCGCAACCAAGATTTTTACCGGACATATTGCCGGCGCCACCCATAGTCTGCGCGTGACAAAACTGAATATCAAATCCAACATCCGTCAAAGCTTTGACTATCAAACCACAAAGTGTCGAGCCTGTTGTCTCTTCTGCTTGGACAAAATTCAAGAAACTTTTCTACTGGACTACCGTCTCTAAGATATCATATAATAA